AAACAAGCTTGGTGTCTGCTGCTCTGAGTGCAGTGGCTCCTCTAGGATGGCTCAGGATTCAGTATTTAGACAGGAGCAGATCTACTCTGTGTCTGCCCCAGCCAAAAGGACCAGGCAGGGGCAGAAGGGAAATGGAATTCTGTAGGAGTGGGGTTTGGGTAGCTGGTGGGTCCTGAGTGTCCATGGCTTCCAGATGTAACTCTGGGGCTTAGGGAGTGAGATGGAATTCTTACCAGCTGCTCTGAGTTCAGTGGCTCCTCTAGGATGGCTCAGGATTTAGTATCTCCACAAGAGCAGACCTACTCTTTGTCTGCCCCAGCCCAAAGGACCAGGCAGAGGCAGAAGGGAAGTGGAATTCCGGAGGGGGGCAAGTTGGATAGCTGGTCAGTCCTGATCGTCCCTGGCTCCCAGATGTAACGCTGGGGCTTAGGGAGTGAGATAGAGTTCTTACCAGCTCCTCTGAGTGCAGTGGCTCCTCTAGGATGGCTCAGGATTCAGTATCTCCACAGGAGCAGACCAACTCTATGTCTGCCCCAGCCCAAAGGTCATATGATACAGTTATAATAATACAAGCTATTATACATTATCAACATCCTTAGTTGTTTTACATATAAAATATATGCTACTTATAAACTAAAATTTGGTTAATTTTTTCTTCAATATTTATTCAAATTTTATAAAATAGAAACCATTGATTTATATTGTTTTTGATTTTTACTTTACATCTTATTAAATCTTCAATTATGTCCAAAGATGGATGAGTTCTAGCAAAAGCAATAGAAAATGATACTGACTTTTAATGATGATTCACCTTTCATCTATATAACTTCTCTATTCCTGATTACTTGATTACCACATAGAATGGGAACGTTCCCTCGTTAAAAGTGTTGTACCTGAGGTTTAGGTATTTTAATATCTGTCTAAACTTAGAGCTATTAAAGAATTAGCCTTGTAATCTCATCATCAAAAGAGTTCTTTTAACTATCTTTGCTATTATGTCCAGTGATCTCATTTTATAGTTTATGTCTTTATTATCACTCATATATTTCATTTAATAAAGAGTAGACTGGTTATAACCAGTGTCCTTGGGAACTTTATAACTGAACATATTCTGTATAAGATAAGCAAGAAGGGGAAAGTTAAATAGATGGCTAATTGATTTTATTGCCTCCTAGTCTTCACCCTGAGACTTCAATCTAAAATTCATTCTGATAGTCTTGTGACTCTAAATTTATTTATGAGTTGTGAATCTTTGGCTAAGTCAAAAATGCAATATAAAATAAAATTCATGAAAAGATCAATGATTACCGGATATGGAAAAATATCACAGGAGATAACTGTGAAGTCAAGTTAGAATCTGGGGACAATATTGAACAACTAAATGGATGAAAACTATGTACTTCAGTTACATATCAACTTTTCTAAGTAATTGTTAATGTGTTTCATTTGAAAATAGTTTAGTAAGCCAGTTCCATTGATGTTTAATTAATTTTAATTTTGTAATAATTTCTAATGTAAATTAAACTCTAGTGATGGGACTCCATGTTAGATCTCTTCTTACATGTTTTTAAACAATATTTTATTGATTCTTTGTGAGTTTCACATAATACACCCCAATTCCACTCATCTACTTTTTCCTTCATAGTTGCCTTCAGCCCTTATAAATTACCCACCTAGACAAAAGAAAAGAAAATAAGATAGAATAAAAGAAAGAATAATAATAATCTTGTGTGGACGTTGTGGTATATCACAATGTATCACACAGTATAAGCTTTTGTCCACACATCTTTGCTTACAAATATTCATTGCTTAAGTCATAGCTCTGTTTGGATGCCTCTGGCTTCTGCTACACTATTTATACTGGATCCTCACTCGGACCCTTCCCAGATATATCCTGTTGTCTTGTGTCACGCAGATCCTGCAGTTTAGGATCTGCCGGACTGTCCCTTTAAGGCAATCCCGCATATATCACTGATGGGATAGATGTTTGCATAGGCCAACTCAAACCTCTGACTCTGGACCTGGGAGGAAGCTGAATTGATCAGCCTACCAGATAACCTGTGCCCATGCAATCAGAACAAGATGTCGAGCACTGCACCACTAACTCAATAAATCCTGCAGCCAGCAATGGGCAGATCTTGGGCTCTCATATCCTCTTGTCTGGCTCAACCACAATACCAGAAACAAGGGCCAGCTCTACTTTTCTGCCAAGCCTTGATACAGAGCCTGCTCTTCCATGCTACAGAGAGTGAAGGGCCAGGCCTCTCACTCTCTTGATACTGGGGTCAGCTCTCCCACCTACCAGAAGTGGCAAGGGAGAAGATGGGGAGGGCATCTCTTTCTTGCCTGTACCACTGCATGATAGACAAGTGAAAGGAACACCTGTCCCATACTCATACTCGCAGTGCCAGCTAACCTACTCACCCTCTTTCAGGACTAGAAGAGTAGTACAGTCAGCTCAACAGACTGTCTCAGGCAGCAGTCCAGACCAAGAACATCTGCATGCGCTTTGGTGGTAACACAGAAATGGGACATTGATACAGTCCACAGATGCAGCAGGACCACAGACTAATACATGACCCTAGGTGACAGCCTTGGCCAGAATCTCACTATGGCTTTCTCATACCTGTCTGTTCCTCACTGCCTTCAAACCTGTAGTTCCATTTTTCTTTCTCTAAAATGAATCTCATGGCTTTCTCTGGGATCTCTCTACCAAGTACCTTATCTTTCCCCTCTCCCCATCACACATTAGCCCATCGTACTAAAACCCAAGGTAGGTGCTGGGTGTCTTCCTTCTTTTCTCCCTGGATCTTTATATATATTTATATCAGAATATTTCAAATAGTTTAACATTATGAATCACAACTTTGCTTTTAAAATAAAAGTTAAGACTATTCAGATTTCCTTAGTAAATAACTGAACACAAAATCATTAGAGTTGGTGATGTTCTTTCTCCTTTACGTACATCATGGGAAATAACACTTCAAATACATTTTGCAGGAAATTATTAATGGGCATACATGAATTAGTATTTACTGGTTCAACCAATAGATTTAAAAAGATAACTTTGAAATTGCAAGGCTTTCCTATGTAGCTTAACAACTTTTAGAAAACTGACTGAGACATCATTGCATTTCTGGGGTTTCTGTTTTTCATCAATCCTTTATGTGAACATTTGTACATAATCTATATAATGTGATTTTTGAGTATTTATTCAAAACAATCCACATCTATGGGATCATGAAAAGATTGCTTGGTTTCTGGTGAAGCACTGGCTAGAGATGGCCAGTGACTCTGCAAGGGACAGCATACATTTTGCCACACTCCCAGACTCCAGATTCCTGACGCACTGCCAAAGACCTCCATTGATCCATGCCTTTCAGTCACACAGGACAATGTCCCTACAGCCCCTCCCAAAGAGAGGTTTGTGTCACCTAGCATAGGTAGGGGCATGACTGCAGGCCTCAAGGCCTCGAGAGATCTCCATATTAATGAGATACCTAAAGGCCAGAGGGCATAGCCAATTAAGCATTCCTTCCCAGACCTTCCTCCGCTCATAGCCAATTAAGCATTCCTTCCCAGACCTTCCTCCGCTCTATTTAGGTTCCTTGTGTCTTTGAGGACCTGTGGAGAAGGTCTTCAACTGTTGAACTGTTGTCTAACTGCCCATGGAGGACTTTTCTATGTTCTAGACATGAAGGCCACCAACTCAAGCAAGCTAGCCAAGCCAGCCAATCGAGTGCCAGTAATCAAGAGTCTCTCACCTCGCAGGGTGCCACCAGAGCTCTCCCTCTAGTCTCTCTCAGCTGCAGCACTCCAGCCTGTATGCCCTCTAGTCTCAGTTCTTCAGTGTCTCCCAGCAGCATCTGGGAGCCCAAGGAAAGAGACCATTGGTCTCCTGGTCAGCTATTTTGGCCTGGAGACCCCCACTCAGGAGTACTACCCCCTGGGACTTCAGGCTGAGATCTCACCATGCCCGGGTGGAACCCCGCAACTTTTCAGCCCAGTGTCTGCCATCTGCCCAGTGCCACGAGGAGGGAACATAGTCAAATTCCCTCGCTTCTGCCTCCCTGAGCTATGGCAGACACTCAAGAACCACAAGACAACCCAACAGGATCCACACCCGCGAGTGAACTACAGCTCCACACATGTCTAGTGCCAAAGTTAATGTTCAAGTAAGGCACAAAGATACATTATCCTTTTAAAAAACTTATATTTTATAAATTATAGGTAGATTGGTTACATGTGACATTTGATAAGTAGAAGATTGTTCAGTGTATGCTATGTGACTCTGAGTGAACTTTGTTTTTTTGTCTTTTTGTTTTATTTGTTTCTTACAAATGTATTTCAACCAACCAGAGCCTGAAGAACTCTCAGGGACAAAACCACCAACCAAAGAATACACATGCAGGGACCCATGGCTCCAGCTGCATACATAGCAGAGGATGGGCTTATCTGGAATCAATGGGAGGAGAGGCCCTTGGTCCTGTGAAGGCTCGATGCCTTAGTGTAGGGAAATGCTAGGGTGATGAGGCATTAGTGGGTGGGTGGGTGGGGGGAGCACCCTCATAGAAGGAGAAGGGAGGGGCATGGGATAGGGGATTTGCAGAGGGGAAACTGGGAAGGAGGATAACATTTGAAATATAAATAAATGAAATAACCAATAAAAATAAATAAAATATAAAAATGCATTTAATTAGATGAAATTTAATTTAATTATATATATATGTATATATATAACAAATATAGTCATACATCCTTTATTTACACAGCTGTAATTATCAAAGCATATAGACAAAAGCATTTTTCTATAACACATGTTACATTTTACAAGTGTTTTAAGGGAAAATATCATCCCACTTAAGAATATATATTAAATTTAATGTAGAGTGACACAATAGGAATGGACCAGAAAAGAACCACTATACTGAGTTCATTGTGCTATTACTGCAACTAATATGGTGTCTGTGGTTATTAAATACAGGATCATACTTTTTTTTTCAGTCGTTGTCAGAACCATTTGGAGGTAAAAAATACAATGCATCACTGAAACCATGTCCAAATGCCCTAAGACGGTACACCCCATACATCATCACATGCATTTGATCAGGAGTCAGTCCACTGAAAGAAATGGCCATATCAGAACAGCATCCTTGTATGATCTCATTCGGGTAGTCAGCCATTGCCTCTTTTATAAGCATCCCAATAGTTTTTGTATTAAATAAATTTTTCCACTCCGCATCTTCAGCATTTTCTGCAAACACTCCCACCTCTTTCAGAAAGAGTGCAAGCATCTGATCTTCAGAAAACTTCCAAATCAGATTATTCTCATGAAGACGACACTTTTGTGTGATCTTGAAACAGCCGTTGAGTCTTTCCAGTGATTCTATACTTAAGACAACCCCTCCCTCTACAGTCACATAGTCAAGAGCTCCAAAGTGTTCAGTGTGACCTAGATAGAAAGGTTGCGATGGATCTTTTCTTAACAAAAAATACTTTAAGTTTTCAATAACAGCAAATGTAGTGGGATATGTGAGAAAAAACCAGCTATATTGGTCTTTGTATTTCTCAAAGGCGTACACGTAAGCTTTTATCATCATCAACGACAAGGTACTCTCATTCACAGTAATTGACTCAAATCCTTTAACATGTTCAGAACTGAAGAACTCGCCTTTGTCACAGTGTTTTATCCAAGTCTCCTTAACTGCAGCCCACAGACTCACATCTTTGGGTGTTACAAGAATGATACAGTATACCCGGAAGCTGTTATTGAGTTCCAGGCGTTCAGCCTCTGACATTTTCAAGACATCTTTGTTAAGAGCTTGCAGGTGGTGATGCTCGTGGTGATGTATCCCGTTTCTGCGACCCATACTAATGTGTTCTAGCACTGTGATCAAGGCAAAGAGGATACTTCCAAGCAGCGCACCCTTCAAAAATGAGTCGCATTCTGAACGCATGTTTCTAAGTATAAAATGGATCGGTGGGAGAAAGTGCAGCCAGCTATGGCTTTCTGCTCGAATCCAAACTATTTCCTTATATTCCTGAGATGGCAGAAATAGATGCAGCTGGTGTTCTCTTGTTGAGTTCCCTTAAAGGAGATTGCTATATAGGAAACTGGAATCTTGAAAGTACGGAGAGCCTGAAGGGACAAAAGAGTTTTGTTCCTCGCCCGCATGAAGGAATTCTCTCTGATTTGACCAAAAGAGCCCTTGAAAACTACCAGGACGCCTGACGTCTTTGGCCCTAGAAAATAATCAAAGCTGCTAATGTTTACTTACTATTAGGTAACTATGAACATTAATAAAACTATGAAGCTTGATTCTCATCCACTGGGATTCAAGCTATAGCAAGTCCGGTTTGGCTAAAATGACTAACAAAGTTACAGGGTAGGGGCCTTGGTAAAGGCCTTTGATCATCAGCCCTGTCTTCAGTGGCAAAGAAAGAAGCTTCACTTGCTTTGTTTTGTTTTGTTTTGTTTTGTTTACAAATGCTTACTCAAGGATCAAAAGAAAATTATAACAGGAAAACAGAAGATTTTCAACTAATTTTCTACAAATTCGGTTACATTTCTATATTCAACTAAAATGATGTTGAAAGAGGTGTGTGTGTGTGTGTCTGTGTGTGTGTGTGTGTTAGCACGGATGTGAACATAATAGTATGCATACTGTGTGCACTCAAAACTAAGGTTTGGCTTTAAACCTTTTCTTTCTTTTTTTCCCTTTTCATCATTAAGCCTGACAATACCCTTTACATATTGTAGACACTTGTTATGTCTGCCTCTGAAATACACTCAAAACATTTTCAGATGACAGATTTTTTTTTTTTTTTTACTAATATGATTCTCCTTCTCACCATTTGCTCCTAGGTTTCTGATGAAAGTTTGCCTGCTCTCTCAAGGTTATATGAACTACTTCTTGTATCCATTTTTATGATATATTGATTCCATATTAGTATACTGAACACAATTGTACCTAGGCTCATCTATAACTATGAGTGCTTATGTTTATATGTCTTCTGTTATAAACACAGCTATTTGACTGCTTTGTCTTTAGGGGCATCTGGCAGTTAGTAAAATATTCTTTATAGTAGCTATGAAAACTTGTTTTATATTATTATTCGTTAATGTCTAATTGTTCACTTACTTACCATCCAATGACATCTTAGCCTTATTATATTTCGTTGAGTTTCCTTTTTTTTATATAAAAAATGTATTCTTTTCCTTGAAGTGTTACTGAGAGTACTGAAAGGATGACCTAGGTTCACAGACTCTAATACATCCAGACCAGCTAAGTGTCTCAAACAAAACGTGTTAAATAAACATTAATCCAGTTAAAACACTGCAAAGTTAAATAGGGAAGGATTAAGCAAGACACCTTGAAATTAGTGAGTTGTGCATCAATATTCTATTACGTGTTGAACAGAAGGTAGTTTGGAAGATGCAAACAAGACAAATTCATATTCATTGAACTTATAACACAGCTGAGCTACGTAAAGGTGAACAGTTGAATTAGTTTAAAGATTTCAGATTTTCTGGTTTCTCTCATCAAACATGCAAATATTTCATGAAATTTTTAGAAATGAAGTTAATGTCTACATATGTATTCAAAAGCACATATTAAGTATCTATTACATGGTAGGGCATTCCTCCTTTGCTCTTTTCTTTCACATCGCATACTAGAAGTGCCTGTATGCCTGCCTAATTATATTTTGTGTGAAGAGCACGTAGTAGCTTACTTGCACTGAAAGAGAAGAAAACATTCTATACCTATGTAATGCTGTGGATAAACAAGCAAGCAAGCAAACAAACAAAAGGACAAAGAGCAACAACAACAAAATCATCTGGCTTGATCAGATGTCCATGGATTGAAATGTTTTTAGCTGAATTCTATGTAAAGAAAATGTCAGACTATTAAAATTCAAGGTAACTCTTTATATAACAAAATACTTTGCTTTATTATTAGAGACATCTAACTACACACTAATAAATTTTACATTTGTCTCTTTCAACATTAACAAGATTAAAATACAATTATATGTATTATATATAATTATGTATATATACATTATGTAATATAAAATTCAATTATATGTATTATATATTTGAACCATGTATGGGTAACAAACCTATAATCACAGCCACAAGAAGTCTGAGGAAATAGAGTATGAGATAACAGCCTGCTTGATCTATAGAGTGAGGTATTCTCTAGAAAATAAACACACC